TGAGTGTCCTCTTTGCCTGGTTGTCCTCTCACTTCCTACTGTAGCAGTAGAATGAATAAAACTCGTTTGTTTGCTAATCATTCAAACACAATTATTTATTCATCCATTTGTCTGCCAATTAAGAAATTTTATTCAAGAGTTATTTGGAAGAAATTTCAACAAAATATGTACTCGTACCAAGTACGCTAAATCTGATTTTTGAGGAAATTGAAGATACACTGCTGGAAAGGTGGTGTTTATTAAAAAGTGTTGAAAGTAAGAATGCAAAGCCTCCGATGTAAGTTAGTCTATGCACCTTATTCTCCTTACTGGATTGTAAGATTAGGAGCTCAGTAAAGATTACTACGTTCTACAGAACTGTCTCTGCGAGCAAATAAAAAGAGGTTGGATGGTAACCTATAAAAGTTTGAAAGGAGTTTACTTTATAAGCAATACACAGCAATCAATTCTTTCAACCATGATGCACTCGCGCCCGACAGACGGCATACGGTGTGTTGGTTTGATGGCACGTAGTGCTTTCGTTGAAATTTGAGATGCTTCAAAGCTAGTGATGGGATCAAGAATAGCATATGTTCTCAAGGATTTGTTACAAAGACCGCAAAGATTAAAATTCATTGAAACTTCTCACTGAGAACTTTCATCAACTGATGGGTGAATACATCGATAATCAAATAACATTTGAAAGTTACTCTTATATCAACAATTTGCGAAGTTTTGATTGACCAAATAGTAAAGAATCCTGAGCTTCTTTCTGAAGAAAAAAAGGTTTGATTTGTTACAAAAAGCTAAGCTCTGCAAGCTCCATAAAATCATTTGCAAAGCTCAGAGAATCGATAGTCAAACAAAGAAACTGGACTAATCAATGTTGATCTAAAGAAATTTGAATTCTTTGAAATGCTCTCTTCTATCTTAACCGCTTCTTGTGCAATTTGAATTAACTTGTCATCTGCATTTAACCTTCACTAAAGCGTAAAATATATTAAGATGATGGAGCAATGTGTCGATAATCAATGACGTTAAAGCCTTCTTCAATCAAGTTTTTAATCACTGTGGAGAAAAGTACCATTGGGCTAGAAATTTTAAAGCACTAATACATTATATGAGGATTTCTTTCTAAATCGTGACACC